TACCACCGTTGTTAACCGTTTTGAAAAAGAACCGGCTCAGGCTCCAAGTATAGTGGCATTGAAACGTGCTAAATTGGCCAAGTCAGCTGAAAAGGGTCAATTACTATTCAAAAGGAGCGCAGATCATAATGCTCCCTTAGATCAATCAAAGATCACCGTTACGGATCTGGGTGAACATCGTTTCAGAGACGTTTATGGTGACAGGTCAGGAATCATCTCGTGGGGATTCCATGACACTATGAATATGTGGATGGTGAGAAGAAAGAGCGGCAATACTGAATTATACAAAGATGCTCACGATTTTCATTCCTTTACTAGGATTGATCTTACAGAGCTGTCTAAAGCTCCTTTCTCAAATCCATCAAACAATCCCAGGGCGACTCAGTTCAAATCATTTTTGGAAGATCAAGTAGCTAAGGGCTTCCCTTCGATGAAGACTGCTGAGTCTATAATCAAGGTTTACCCTAACGTCATTGATCCCAAAACAAGTCAGCCACTTCGGTCAGTGATGTGGCCCGCTACTGCTCAAGTAAAGCAGATCCCCATTCTTCAAAACTATCCAGATGGATCTCTCGCATCCAGCAATACTGGGTGTTTGATGAATCTACTGCTGCTGCTGTCATCAAGCTTAAAGACGATTGTATCCGCTTATATGACAAGAGGGATTTGCTTCAATTTGGCAAGTGGGATATTCATCAGCTCTCCATTCATCATATCATGGTGGCTGAAGACATTTTTGAGCCCGTTGCAAAGGAATACACTTCGATGGTTGCTGAGATTATCGAGAAGGAGATGTGGAACGGAGCTATGGGAAAATCTGATGTGCTGGTGGTCGACAAAAGTTGAGTCCAAGCTAGCACCAAACCAAGGGGGAGATTGAAGGGTCCGGTTAATGGTTTGGTCTAGGCTTTCATTGTATTTTGTTCAGTATGAGTCTTTAATACATTTTGTGAGTTGTTTATGTGTTTACGGTCAGAAAGTGTGTTTACGGCCGTAAACACGTTTACGGCCGTAAACCCTGTTTGCGGTCCTGTCTAGTATATATAGTGGAGGTGTAGGTCTATGTGTGGTTGTTGATGCCATTGTGTTTACAGAGTGTTCCATCGAGTTGTACCTGACGTTTTTCTGAATATAAACGTGTGCAAGCTCGATTTCTTTTCTTCTTCTACTTCTATTGTGATTGTTTGTTGCTTGATCATTGGTAAAGATCCTTTTCAGGACCTTACAGCATGAGAAATCCTGCAGTTGTTCAAACCCACCATCATGGATTTGAATTCTTGATGAGCAGTAGGTGGATCCATAAGATATCCAACAACATTGTGGGAGTCTACAAATTTAATCTGCTCTGCCATTTATCTGCACCAAACTAGCCAAGTGAGAGTTGATTAAAAATTAACTTAAATTAAGATTATAATTTGATTTCGGTTGAAGTCAAAGATTTAATAGATTTCGATCGAAGGCAAAACTTTAGGCGATTTCGGTTAAAGTCAAGGTTTCTATTGATTTCGGGCAAAACAGTTCGATTTCGGTCAAAACAGTTCGATTTCAGTCAAAAGACATTTGACCACACGTTTTCGGCCGAGAACCCTGATTTCGGTCGGATCTGAAACGATTTCAGTCAAATCTAGGTGGACCGAAAACTCTCAAAACCTGTTCTAAATCAAAATTTTGAGAACCTTCGAACACTCCACTCGAAAATTGCAAATCCATGGAAGCATGTACACCAAAAACACTTTAAACATTATTGCTATGATCGAGAACCTCATATTTACCTGATTCACCGAAGAAATTTCAACACAAACACCGAAAATAAGTAGATTTTTTTTGAAAAAAGAAAAAGCTTGAAAGAGACTGACAATGGCGGATTGGGATTTTAGCGGAAAAACCCTAATCAGCTTTCGAGAGGGCATATATATACCCCGAGAACGGCCTAGATGGCCCACCACAAAGATTTCGCTCCAAATTTTAATTAATGGGGATTCTTTTCGATTTTACATTTCAAAAATAAATTAAATAAATAGATAAAAATTAAACACACCACAAAAGAATTTTTTAAATTATTGTTAATTTTTATTATGTTTTTTTAATTAATTTTTTTCAATTTGATTTTTTATTTTTTGATTTTTGATTTTTTAATTTTTTAATTTTTAATTTTTTAATTTTTTATTACATCTCCCACTAAATTTGTGCATAGAGGAAAAATATAAACAAATTTAACAAAAACAAAAAGTAAAAAATAAAATAAACACATTTTAATGACTAAATTTAAAACTTTTGGGATCAAAAGTTGTCAAGCAATTTAATATCGTTTATCAGCACACACCTGCATGAATAGCTCTGGTCAATCACCAATATTGTGGTCCACTTAAACACAAAGAATATTTGCAAGTTGGATAGATTATAAGTGAGAAGACATTGCAATCATATTCCTAAATAGACCATTTTGCTGATGGCAACCAAAGATATTGTTGTCGACTTAAATTCAATAGCGAGATCTACAGTCAACCTTTTAGTCATGAACCAATTCAATTTTAAGCGCACTAGAACGTGCTCCCCACTTCACGACATACCCTAGTAATCAAGGAATTCCAAAGAGCTCTTTACTTTAGGTGAGTGTTCAATTATTTAAGAAAGAAGAGAGAAGATGTAGAGATGCATATGTTGTATCCCAGGTCAGATCTCTTCCAATCACGCAGAGGAACAACATATGACTAACATATATGGAAGGATAGAGAGATAGAAAGGTGCATATGATGTGTCCCAGGTCGGATCTTCCGATCACACAGAGGGGACAACATATGACTGACTTAGATAGATAGATAGATGCATAGAGAGAGATATGCATAGAAATAGAGATGCATATGTTGCGTCCCAGGTCGGATTTCTTCCAATCACGCAAAGGGAGCAACATATGACTGACATAGAGGATAAGAAAGAAAAACAATTTCACACAGACCTACTTTATCAGAACCCACCTAGTCACCCTATCAGCACCAGAATTAAGGACATAAGTCCGTACGTCGAAGAAGTGTTGAGCCACAATTCTAGATGATAAGTAACTTTAATGTATCTCGCAGGATCCCCTGTTTATCTCACTGCTCAATCTATCCAAGCGTCGTATGGTCACTCCAAATGTAACTATCTAAGTCTAGATGAGTTAACATTTTCAAGTCTTTTCATTGTCAACAGTGTCTAGTGCTTTCATTTTGAATCCTTCTTGCCTACCAATACATTGAACACAAAGTCTAAATAATTTAGTTTCAATGTATTACACGTATTTCAGAATTCAGATTGCCCTTTAACACTAAACTTCATATCACTTCCCAAAAGATTGACACAAAAATCCTTTACTTGAACAAAATGGAAGAAAATAAGAAATATTAAATAAAATTGAAAGGAAATTTTAGTTTTCGAAACGTATTATCTTAAGAAATCCCACAAACACGAGCTTGAATGTTGAAAAATAGGGTTTTTTTGGGAAAATGAAAATCAGCACTATAAGCACAGAGAAGAGAAGAGTTAGAAAATTCAAACCATAATTCAACAATTGAAGAAATCCCCATTTGTAATCTTTTCTTTTCCATTCCCGTAAAGGACACATGCTCTCCATTAAAATTTTGAATGACATGCAGAAGAGAGATATCCCCCATCATGTGTCAGGAACAGCCATTATCAACATACCGAAGTCTGATGATATTCCTCCATAGCTGCTCCGACACAGAGTGCGAAATCAATTTGTCTTGGGAACCCAATCCATTTTGAAACTGGGTTGACCTTTACCATCAACACATGATACTCTTTCCCAAGTCATATCCTGTTTACCAAACACAAAAAATGAAGATACATTAGAATTTTTATATGATTTGTGTAACAACCCGATATTTTTCAAGTCAATATAATGATCTAAAGTCAAGTATTGTAACCTATTGTTTTTGAGATAATAAGAATAGCGTCAAAAATGAAATGTTCAAAAATCTCAATTAGAATGTACTAAGTGATATATATCGTAACAAGGCTTTCAAAAACATAAAGAACACTAAAATCCGAGTTATAACGAATAAATTATGACCAATTAAAGATCCGCAACAAAACCGGTAAAACACTGTTAAGCATAAAACGCGAAATTTCAATAAAATACTTTTTAGCCTTAGATATCTAAATGAAAGTCGTAGATATCATTAAACCGTAAACGTACATAAAAAGAACGTCCAAATCTGACTTCGTATGAGGAAGTTATGATTTTTCTAAGTTTCGGATATAACAGTAGACAGCTAAAAACTCGAAATAGAGATCGAGCGACTTTTAGCCGACACAACCTAAACGAGAATTGAAGATCTCGACAATAGTAGTGCAATGGTAAAAAGACAGATGAAAACGGACGTCGGATGAAGAAGTTATGGATTTTTAACGGACTTTTCCAGTCCCGGCCTGTTAAATTTATAATATTAAAAATAAAGTCAAAATTAGCCGACGGAGTCTAAACAAAAGTTTTAGAGCATAATCTCACCTACGCGTGGATATAAAAAACGTCAAAATCGGAAGTCGTATGCGAGATATATGAATTTCTGAAGTTCGGGACACGAAACCCAACACTGTCAGGAAACTCACGACGTGAGCCAGGGACTGATGTGTGCCAGAGACGCGCTATCAGACGTCGAGTCTACGAAAGGGATAAGATCAAAGTTCACGATGTGAACCACCCCAAGTTCACGACGTGAACTCCAAAAATCCACCCTATAAATAGAAACCGAGGGCTACGGTTTTGGCTGCTCATTTCTATCCCCTCTCCTAATTTTACTCTGTGTTAAGCATCCCGAGACTACCCCAACGCCCCGGTTAGGAATGGCAAAGGGGCGGGTTCGGGGCGGGGCATGGTTTCCCAAACCCGATAACTACCCGAAAACCCGACCCCAAACCCGAAATATTGCAGAAAAAAAAGGAAAAACTAAAAATACAGAATGATAAATTAAGACAGTTGCATAGGCTTAAAATACCAAATAAGTTCTTAAATCATTTAACAAAATAGAAATTACTAATAGTCTAATATTGTAGAAACAACCAACCAACCAAAACACCAAAGTACAAAATATGAAAAACTAATTCATCACAATAATACATTACCACTTAACATTAAAACAAACTCAAAATCAAACAAAATCATCCAAACTTGTTGTCCTGCTTTCTTTAGTGTTTTCCTACAAAATATTAAACAAACTCAAAATCAAACCAAATCATGGAAACTATATAAAATTAATATTCTTAGAAGTGTCGTTTTACCTCTTCCACATCATAATCAAATTCAACAGAACGACAATATGTCTCGGTCTCTTCAGAACAAGTTGCTGTATATAAGAAAATATAAAAGCAATTTAACAAAATTATTATTAACTAGAAAAGATTCCCTCGCGTTGCGAGGGTGGGAGGGTATACCTTTCTAAAGTATGTTGCTGATGTTAATTAGTGTAACTATGTATCACAGTATGTTGGGAGTACATTTTATTTATTTATGTACGGATGAGATTTCATTACATACATGAAAACAACATGCTTGCCAAAACCAACAGAAAACATCATCTCGGAAAGCTTCACCAGCTATGCAACTTGGCCATTCCTACAAAACAAAATACATCAGTGTTGACCAAATTAACCAAGTCTTGACCAAATTAACCAAATTATTACTCGTTAGTTTCCAGTCATTGATTCAAACTAAACATACAAATGGTGGGCTTCTATACTTATATGGTTAGTTTAAATCACAAAAAAAAAAACAACAAAAAAAAATTCTCAAATACACATAAGAAACTAAGAGATCAAATTTCAGAAAAGGAATTCGTATTGTTACTCTTTTATTGAAAAAATATTAAAAAAAAAGATCAATTTTAGTAAAGGACTAAACTTATATGAACATAACTTACACAAGTGCACGTCAACATTAGTGTTAGAGTTCAAATTTCAAAAGAAAAAAAAATTGTCCATGTTACTCATTTCTTGAAGAAAAAAGTTTAAAAAAAAAGATTATAACCTTTTTATTTTGGATCAAAATACCCTTTTGTTTTAGACATTCCAGAACCGCTTGAATCTTGTTCACGTTTCATTGTGTTTACCTTCGTTTTTTATGACTTTCTGGTTTTTGGTCACTTCTGTCTTTTGGTATTGTGTATTATGTTTTCTTTTATCTGTGTGTATGTATTGTAATGTTTTCTGCTGATCATTAATTATTGTTTGCAGGTTTTGTAACTTCCTTGGTTTCTACTTGGATTGTCAACTGGTTCTGCCTGCTTACTTTTTTTTTTCTGTTATTATCGATTGCTTCAACATAATTTAAAAAAAATCTTTTTAATAAAGTTTTTGTACGAAATGGATATAATAGTAAAACAATATCCATGTTTCTCATATAACTTTCAAAGAATATGAAATACAGATGAGCAAAGATGGATAATGAAAATTATATTTTACAAACCTACAGATTTAGAATTCCTAAATAAAAGATATGTACAAACTATAGATCATACGTTCTTTAAAAATTACAGCAACCTCAGTTTTAGTACTTTTACTGTGTTTATTTTATATATATATCTTTATTTGTCTGTTTTTTAACTGTTTCTGTTCTATTTTTTGCAGGTTTTAGATATTGTTTCCTTTAGGTAGTCACTACATATTAGTTGAATCTTCTATGTTCTGTTTAAAGCTGATGCTTTTGAATAGTTTTCGGGTTGTATGATGCTTATGGCCATGCACATGGTGCCTGTAAGTGGTATCAGATCGCTTTAGAAAAGTAAAAAAAAAAGTATATATTTTTAACCAATTTTATGTTAATTTAGCAATCATGATAGATGGTTGTACATAGTTACCTCATCTAGCATGTAGTTTTTGTTGACATATGAGGGGAATTGAATTTACCTTCACCACTCCTGAAAGAAATTACACGTTTTAGTATTGCGTTACTGGAAGAAAAGAAAAAGGTAAATCTCACGATAAGTGAAACACCACTATACGTCAGCATAGATGAGGAAATAATTTTTTTTATACCTTCTTCCCTCATTCAATATAATTGACAGCAATTAAGCTAATCCTCCTCGTGATGTAATTGAAGATTGCAAATAGGGTTACTAAATTCATCTTCTATTTAAGAGAAGAAAACATTAAAAGTTTCATCTTCATTAGTTTTTTATTCACCAACCTAAACAAAAACAACCACAAGAGAAAGAGATCTATTAATAACAAAATATTGACATTGGCATTTTCACAAACACTTGGACTGCAAAAACATAGTTGTAGGTCCAAATAAAAAAAAAACAATCCTGTAGTGTTAGATAGCAACTGATTAAATAGAAAAAATTGAAAATTTTGATATAGAACAATTTGTTATTCACAAAAATTAAACCCTACCTGGTACTACTCATCGGAATGATGCAGTCAACTCCTTCCGTCACCGTCTTCTTTCTTGCCTCCTCCATCGTCTTCCTTTTCTCTAGAACGCCTTCTGAATCCGACGAATCGGTTCTCGGTTCCGTTTTTTGAAATATCAATTTTGGGTTTGTTCTTCAGTCCATTCCAACCAAATACCCACAATCTCCTTTTCCTACGTTCAAATACACACACTCACTAAATGAGTTTAAATCAACAGATATTTCAAATCGGTTACATACCTGGAACAATAATCCCTAAATCGATGCTAGCGGATCGATGGGAAGTCAAATCCGGGAAGTAGATGAAGCGGAGGAGAGGAGCCCCTGAAATTTTGAAAGCTTCCTCGTCTTCACCCAATAAGTTCAGGATGCTTTCCTGGCTCGCCTTCACTCTAATCCTCTGACAAGGAATAACGGTGGTTCAAGAAAATGAGAGCCCGTGGGTAAGGACCGATATTTTAATCGACGAATAAAGGGATTAAAGTAACCCTGAGTCGGTGATGGAAAAGAGTGGCGGTGGAAGAATATAAGCACGGGAAATGGGCAAAATATGACTACCAATACTTATGTGGTCAAAATCTAAACCGCATAAAGTTTTGTGGCCAAACTCGAAAATCCAAAAAAGTACTGTTCTTAGGTGTCCTCTCGATTTATTATATATATAATATGCACAAAAAATTCATAATTTCATACAATTAATATAAAATAGTATACTACCTCGAATTTCATTCAACAACCAACTTTGAGCACACATTAAAGCCTCCAATGTCTTTGGATGAGGTCGACTACGATGAAGACTTACTAATCTTCCACTAGTGCTGAAAGCTGATTCCGAGGCAACAGTGGAAACAAGAATAGCTAATATATCTTTAGCTATCCTTTGTAGTGTCGGGTACTTAATCCCATTTGTTTTCCACCAGAGAACATAACAGTCACCTCATAAAAAAACTGTAATCTTTCACAAATCTCACTAGCCAATGTCATAGTAACACTCAACAAATCTATCTAAACAAATTAGAAATCAGAAATAACTCAAATCTGATTCAAACAGAAATCAGATTCTTAAACAGGTTTATTTAAGTGCCCCTATATATTCATTTGAAAAGAAATCAACTAATATATGCATTTGAATATCAGAAATCAGATTCATCGGTACAAATAAGTTCAAATCAGCTCAAAATCAATTCATAAATCATATTTGAAATCATTAACTGTGTGTTTTGTAAAACCCTAATTCCACAAATCCTTATAGCAACAAGAGTGATTCTCGTATGAAATTTGAACCACACAAGGCTCCGTATAAATGCTGGACTCCAATTTCTTTATCATCAATCATATTCAAATCCATCAGAGTTCGAAAATCGAAATCATCAATCATATTCGAAATCATAAGAGTTCAATTAAGCATTATTCTTACCTGGATTAGATTGTGTCGAACAGATGTGCTTCGATCGAGCCTTCAACTTCGACTCTGCGATTGCCGATTCTCAAAACAACGCAACGATAGAGAGGCTGCGAGGGGTGATGCTGTGCTAGACGAGTGAAACCGACGAGGCAACGATTCGAGTCTTCGATGAAACGGAACAAGTTTCGAGTGATCGACTCTTCTGTCGGCAGTCGGCTGGAACTGGAAGAGATTAGAGAAGCGAGTGCCGACTGGTAAGTGGTAATGTGAATACGTGATTTTAGGGTTAGATTATCTAAGGGGCTTAAATATATATATATATATATATATATATATATATATATATATATATATATAGATTTTAGGGTTAGATTATCTAAGGGGCTTAAATGTATATATATATATATATATATATATATATATATATATATATATATATATATATATATATTCGGGGCGGGTCGGGTCGGGGCACGCATATCCCACTCCCTGCCCCGAACCCGAAATAAATACCCGATAAGGACCCGATACCCGACCCGATACCCGATAAGCTTGACTCGACCCGTCCCGAAATCTTCGGGGATAGGGTTTTCCCATCGGGTTCGGGTTTTTTTGCCATCCCTAGCCCCGATTATGTGTCCAAGCCCTGACAAAAGCCCGAAGTCCCGAAGTTCCCGAGAAACTTGCTTCTTTCTAGTTGAAGTGCTGTCCAATTTAAACATCGTCTTCATCAAACCGTCACTCACTACAGGTGAGTTCATACCCCTAACTTATCTTTTATATGATTTTAAATGCTTTTATAGGGGGGGGGGTGGGAATACAAGTAGAAAACCATATAGTTGTATAATCAATCACATGTGATTTATAACTATCAAAACAATAGATTTCTTATACTTCAAACTGTGTTATCAAACAAACTATTTCAAATCATTTTATAAATTGACATCAAGTCATCAATAACCATTCAAATGGTTAAAACTCTTTTATATAATAAAACTCTTTATCGTTTTACAAAACTCTTTTAAACTTATATATTGTCAAAATCATGTCTATAGAGATAGTTATATAAATAAGGTTGAAAGGGCTTAGGACTGATAACTCGCTTTATTTCCTGTTCCTTGTTTGGTTGTGGACTTAGGGTATAGGTTGTTTGTCTGAAGGTTGTTTGAATCTTAGTTATATATTATGTATATGTATATAGATATAAAAGTACTTACAATCAGTTCAACACCTTTTGGTAGCAAAGGTGTACAAACATGAACAATTAATCGATTACAGAGCGTACTAGTAAACTATAATAGGTATAGTTTAGGAGAACAATACTTACTATTTCTAGAACAATGAAACTTACAAGGGTCAGTTCATACATGAGTTAGTTCAAACATACAATAACAAGGACAAAAAGGAACATACAATAACAAGAACAGAAAGGAACACACGATAACAAGAATAGAAAGGAACATACAATAACAAGAACAGAAAGGAACATACGATAACAAGAACAGAAAGGAACATACAATAACAAGAAACAGAAAGGAACATACATCCTTTTACAAGAACAAGATAACATTAATGTGAATCTACTTCACGGCTTAGCAATATATTTGTTAGGTCGCGTTTTGTAATCAGAGTCTCCTGGGGGGAGAGCGGACATTGTGTGTATAGATCTATACGGGACTGACAAGCCCGCATCCCGACTGTTCGCTACAGTTTGGCCGGCAAGGCCAAGGGGTGACAAATGTCACATCAGTTTCGGCGCCAGAAGGTCGTCATGTTAAACACTTGTCAATCAGTATGGCTATAACCACATCATATTTTTACCTTAATTAAAAAAATTGGTTTTAAGGTAGTTAGTGTTTCAGTAGTTACTTATTACAATATTACTGTACACTGTCATTTTCCCATTACATTCACATAGTGATCTTCTCACATAAAAAGTAATGTAACTATTTTCTAGTAATAATAGTCATATATTTGGGAAAACACACACTTTTACAAAAGAACCAACATACAGAACAGTCGAGTCTTGGTAGAAGGCTACTCTCCATTTTAGTAGAAAATATAGGATTTTCTAGGAAGTATACAAACTTTACATCAAACATTTACAAACTTTACATCAAACATTTACAAACTTTACATCAAACACTTACAAACATTTTCTTCAAACTTATACAAAATTTGACACTAAAATACTTATGAACTCACCAGCTTTAATGCTGATCTACTCTTTCAAAATAACTTGTATTTTCAGGTCACCAGTAGACAGGTACACTGAACCAGGTTTTGAGAAGATGGAGCGTGTTCAAGACTCGTCTTTTATTTTGATATATATATTTTTGGTGTCTTATAAATACATTAAGAACACACTTGTATTAACTATATTATTAATGCAATGGATGATGTTGTTGCTTATTTTACTATTGTGCATTGTTATGATACTGAACATGACGTCCTCCGCCCCCGAACGTTTCCGCCATTCCGGTTTAGGGGTGTGACAGATTGGTATCAGAGCCTTTGTTTATAGTGAATTGAGTATATGAACCCATAAAAGATATACAACTATAAACACATCGGGATTAAAATACTCTGACCAAGAGTTTATACTTTTTAAATAATAAAATATTTAACTAAAGTATACATACATGCATTCATACTAGGATCAGTGTCATACTAAAACAGGACAAAAGTATTGCGGTTGTTGGACAGCACAAGTAGGGTTGGGGACATATAATCAAATCTGGGAGTGATATAGCCTGATCAACTATATCTTTCCGAGAAGTGATTATCATGTGCCCAGGAATGTTTGTGGTGTTGCAGCAAGTCTAAAAACTTACCAACACTACTACAATGAGAAATTTAGAACAAAACATAAACTTAAAATACTATAGGAGTATTTTGTGTTACTATAAATTACTTAATTGAGAACTAAAAGGTCTTTATTAGTAGGTCAATAGTTTCGGAGTGGATACGCTAAGGTTATATGTGACTAGGGTGTAATAGACTTAGAATCTGTGATCTTTGCTTTATTTCCTGTTCCTTGTTTGGTTGTGGACTTAGAGTTAGGGTCACTTATTTGAAGGTCTATTCTGTTTTGGTCACATATAACTGGTATGCACTACACAAGTATTGAAGTAACTGGTAAGGATCATTCTATAATTATCTTAAGTAGTACGTTTATTAATTATCTCTTTTATCCCTATTCTCGCGTAGATATCATGGGTGGATTCCATCTCCCCGGCGACCCGTACCTCCCCAACCAAGGAAATGATGGATGGCTCGATGCAGAGCCAGAAGAAAATCATGCAATTCCTTTAGATGATGACTTCGTAGAGAACTTCCCGGAGGATTTTGACTCCGAAACAGAAGTCAATGATCTACCCCTAGTGGCTCCAATCCCAAATCCTAACCCTCGTCCGGCTTTTCAAGGCCCGACGCCTTTATGGGCTGAGAACTTGGGTAGGTGGAGCCGTGAGCAAGGTCAACCCTTACCCTACAACGAAGACCGAAGCTTCTACAATCTGAGCGAGGGAGGCCCAGCAGACATAATTCTTCCCATCTTGGTTCGCCGTGTGGCGCGCAATGTTGAGCTTGGAACGACAGCCATTCAACAAACCGTGGAGCTAGATGCGGAAACAAACGCCAATACGGATCGTATTGACAATCTTGAAGTTGCTCACGGGAGAGCTATGAGAGACAATGAGGCTTTACAGCAAGAGCTAGCTGTAACCCAAGCTGAAGTCATAGAGCTCCGAGCACGCTAGACAGTGTATGAACGACACCTCCTTAATGTGGAGCGGCAGCTGGCTGAATTGAGGGTTCATCAGAGGGGTGCCCGTCACCAGTAGGAGATGCTCTGCTCATCCTTTATTTTGGTTTAAGGAATAGCCTTCTTATCTATGCTCTAAGTAGCACTTTTCCCTGTAAATTCATGTTTATCTTAAGACCTTGAACTTTCAATCTGTTAGGTCTTAGTACTGTCAAAACTTTCTTATTTTAGTTTGATGTAAGACCTACTCCTAGGTCATTTTCCCGAACTTATTACATCTTTAATACCAGTAATACTGACTAACATCAATAAATCGGATCACGAAATCTCAATCGAGAGTGATTATTTCTCAAAATTCATAAGTCTATTTTATATAGACTCTATTATGAGCTAGTTTCAAATCTTTTCGAAAGTTGGAACATGATATCCTCCAACCAAAGATAACTTAGTTCGAATGACACCCGCCTTGTGTCAGATGACCATTCTAGGAAATTCCTTCTACACCTTATCAGGACTGCATCACAGGGATGTAGGTCGAATCACCGAGGACAGTATAACAAAACAAAAAAAAATTACATTCATATAAATGATTAGGATACATCTAGTGCAAACCATAAACACTCACAAACTCATTCATTATCATATAACAGAATCATGCCACCAAAGAAACGTAAGCAACCCGCTGGCAAAACACCAATCCTTTAGATGAATACGACTACTTTTCAAGCTGCGGTCACAACTGCTGTTACAGCTGTCATGACTCACCTTAACGTTAACAACGCAAGTGGTAGTGGAATTGTTATCGGCAATCCCAATGCAGGTGATAACCAAGTACAACAACGAGCGCCTACTCGCAACGACACTCCGAACCTTCAAATGAAGAACAAGAAACGGATGTAATGGGATAAGAAGAAGGGCAAATCACCTCAAAAGTTAGCCAAGAGACAACAATCAGTGGCAGCCTCTGCGGCCACGACATCTGTTACTCCTACTGCCGTTTCTACTAGTATCCCGGTTACCCCTACCCCAGCAAGGAAGTATGCTGGGAATCTACCCAAGTGCAATGAGTGCAGCTTCCATCACCTCGGAGTCTGCCGAGTGATTCATTGGAAGAACTCCAACAGGAACGGGCACACTATTCGTTTCTGCAGAGTCCCGATCCAGCACATTACTTCGACCACCAATGTTGGAATCAGTCCAATATGCC